TATTCATTATACATCATCTATGATCATGTCATAGACAGATATATTGGTTTGACAATCCTATTCAAAATGGCCAAATGGTGGCCTTTTTTGTGCTAAACAATCATCAAATATCTAGCATTTCTGGCATTTATGGATGGATTTCGTTCAAACTTGGTACATACATGTATATTTGACATAACAGGTTCCTTATGCACATCATTTATTTTTCAGATCGGATTCAAAATGGCTGTCTGGCGGCCATTTTGTTTTAATGAATGGGCTTCTAGACCCATATCTCCGACTTGTTTTGACTGATAATATTTTTAAATTTTAAATATTCATTATACATCATGTCATAGATAAACAGATATATTGGTTTGACTATCTATTCAAAAAGGCCGAATGGTGGTCATTTTTGTGCTAAAAAATTATCAAATCAAAAGCATTTATGGGTGGATTTCGTTCAAACTTGGTACGTACATTAGACATTACGGGTTCCTCATGCTCGTCATTTTATTTTTCAGATTGGATTCAAAATGGCTGACTGGCGGCCATATCTCTTAAATGCTTTGACTTATTATATTCAAATTTTATATATTCGTTATACATCATGTTATATATGTACATGTATACAAAATGGCTGATTTTGAATGCTGTTCCAGAGCAATATTTATGGACAAGTACTTGTTTAACGATCAGATACAAATGTCAATCATTTTAATGTTAAAAAATCATATTCCTGACATGGTTATATTCCAGCTATATTACTATAAACAAAACTATATATCTTAAATTTGATAACTAACGAGGACTGTGCCATGCATGGCTTGTTTTTGCTGTACTTATCCTATGTAAATCTTTTTACACGAAGGCAATAAAGTTACTATTATTATTATTATTATTATTATTATTATTATAGTTACCTCATTACACAAGTGTTTTTGAACCATCAAGGTGGATGTTATTGGCAATTCTCCTGTTAGTCTGTGTAATAGTTATTTTAAAATTCTATAGTAGGCCGGTGTTTTGAAGCCAAACAAAGCATAGCGAGCGAACATGACTGGAAAGCTAGTGGGTGCTAGCCAACTTAGAAGGAGAACCAACAGGGATTTTAATCTGACTGTATAAGTGAAAAAACACATCTGAAAACACGGATACCTTCATTTGTTCATGCAAACTGTATCCAGACATTTACCGGGCAGTTGATGCTGAGGAAATACAAGTCACGACAGTCGATCTCGTTTCACAAATTGTGTAGTGTTAATCACTACAAAAACAGTAAAAATTCATACCCCTGTACTCGTAGACATCATTTATCGCATTTGCTTGAATAAATCAGCACGTACATGTACCAGATGGAACGCTTTGACCGAGTGCAATTTAGCGTACTGCGCAGATTACGATGCTCAATAATTGGATACATTATCGCGAATAGTCTGCTGCAATGACGTCATAAAATCCACTGGTATTGATAATGCTATAATATAATATTTAATATATGTTCATTTTTTGTTTAGCTCAAAGAAGAATGTCTGATTTTGGAAACAATGATGAACAAACTGAACAGACAATACCAGATAAGGAAGTGGAGTCATCCACAAATAGTGGAGAAACATCTGGAAAGAGTCTGGAGACAGGGGAGTGCAAACGGAAAAGTGTAACTCCAGATCTCATCAAGACACACCAAGGAGTTCGTGAATTAAAAGAGATTTCAATAGAGACAGTTAATTATAAAGGTAGGTTTCACAATGGTGACAGGAATTATGTCTGTGCACTATCTCTCTAGGTTGACTGACATGGTCTGCAGTAACATTTCTGTAGTCTAGTAGCTTTGGAGCTCACTCAGCACACATTACCTATCAAAATACCAGTTTGTACCTCCAGAGAAAGAATTAGATATGTTCTGACCCATCAGCTGGCAATTAATTTTCTGTTCACTAAGAAATCTTGCGTATTGCGTCAAAGGCACAGACTGAACATCTTTTGTTGTTATTCTTGGGGGCGGACAATCGAGCATTTTCACCACCTGGCACTCGTAACGGTGAAAACAAGGGCCGAAAACTCTCAGAAAACGGTACTTTGGGATGGTTGTTGAGACTCCCCTGAACAGTGTAACAAGATTACCCCTGCATGTCCAACATATTTAAATTTGATTTTCTCGGAATTTAGCTATTTCCACTGGCTCTTCGACCGGCGTTCCACACCAGCTCGCGTGGGGCCCATAGAAATACATGGTACAGTGGTGCACGGCTTAACAACGTGGATCGTCTTGTGACGTAGCTCCGCCCCGAGGATAGCTCAATGTCAAAATGCTGATTATTGAAGAGGGGAATATGGCATTGAAATTCCCCCTCCTTCATAAACATTGATCAACATCAAATACATGTAGCATATTATTAAAGGGTGGTAGTCGTCGCACCACACATGCACGAGATATATGGGTCTCATATAAACAAAGATGGTGACTTTTGCTGTTTTGCAGATCAACGAGTACAAACTGAGATGTAACTAAGCTTTAATTAGGTGTTTTTCATGTGATTGGAAGGTATCGAAAGAGTTACCGGTGGTAAAGATCAAACCTCATACTTGTGATTTCCATTAGAAGAGCGCATTGGATTGTGGGAAAATCAATGTTTATCAATAAACATGTTGCACATGCGAGGCGCGATGACTACCACCCTTTAAGCTATAATCTTTGTTTGTTCTGTTTTTATGTTCCATTTCACACATAATGCGGATCTCGCAGTGAACCAAAAACGATCTGTTGAATATGGAAATAAAACAATTACAACAAATTTGCATTTTCAATTTCTATTAAATGCTCTCTCGATACATGATGGGAATTCTATATTTATCAAAACACAAATAGTTTCTCTGTCAACTATCATACGTACAAATGATGGTTTTATTGTCAACAATCTCTGCATGTTTGTTAAATGATGCATGCATTTCAATTATCATTATGTAATAGTGGGGACACTATAGCATAGTAACCAACATTGTTTTGGTGTACTGAATGTCATTTATTAGGAATTCTGTGAAATTGATTTGCTAATTATGTATGCGAGCATATTTTCCAATACTGTAAAATGACTAATTTTCACTGGGTTTAAGTTTCGCTGATTGACCATTTCAGTATGGGTTTCAGTGGGTTTTAAATTCACAGTTTTATCATTTACATAATGTGTTCTATGCTAAATTTTATATACCGGTATGCTAAATTTTATATTAATTAACCCTTTTACAGTAAATGATTATCTTCGGACTACACTGAAATGTATTGTACTTGTGAGGAGTCAAAAAGGATACAAAGATTTTAGGAATATTGGCAGTTGTCAAAAATGCCCAATAAATAAGGAACATTTTTTGTTTACTGTAGCTATACATACCGTAGTATGACCCAATAACTTCCACTTACATGCACACTTGTTATTATCGGTATTTATTGTTATCGACCGGTAGTGCTCATTTTAATATTGTGTTTATGTTCAGTTGACCTGATAATGTAAAATACTTTATTGTCACTTGGAATTAATTTTCGCTATTCAGTAAAAATAAAATCCAGCGAATATAATTTTTTTCCTATATTTTACATTCAACTTGCCAAAAATCAGTGAAAATAAATTCCCTACAAAACACCCGAAAAGTCTTTTCAGTGAAAATTAGTTACAGCTAAAATAAAGGATTTTACAGTATTATATATAATCTATACACTCTATTATTTTGTGTCCGGCTAAATAAAAAACATTTTTTGGTGCATACATATATTAGATACTGTAAAATCTGTATTAGAAACCGCAGCTTCAATTAAAATGGCATAATGCAATGGAAAGGATGCGGCTTTTATTAGAGCATCTACACATATGAGAAATGGTGAATTTTTGGTTCTCAATTATTCAGAAAGAATGGGTGCGACTTCTATTAGGGATGCGGCTTCTAATACAGATTTTACGGTAGTAGGGATTTTTTTATTCTTCTATACATTTACAACTGTGTTTCATTTTTTTTCTTGCAAATAATAACTGTTTTGCAGATATGTGTGTCATAAATCAATTTAAAGTTATTTACATTACTTATATTTGCAAAGTTTTGAATTTCTGTAAAATATCATTCAAAGCCCGACACAAGTTTGTAAAAATATGGCTATTGGTCAGACAGTAAAAATAGGAAAGATCGGGTTTTAGAACCAACATAATTTTTTTTTCTCTTGGCCCAAATGAAGTATAATAGTCTATGATAATGCATGTTGTTCTGTGAAATGATAGCAAGGGTCAAAGTTGATTATCTGAATCTGCTTATACAGTTAATGGTGGTTATAAATTATATGAATTTACAGTTTATTTGCCATTTAATTTTAACTTTTATCAATAGTTTCTATGGTAACACATTCATCACAAATGTGCAAGTTGACATAAAATGGAATATCACTGTTATTGCTTGACAGTCATTTCAATTTTCCGATCGAATAGAACACTTAGTTGATGTTTAACATACTGTAAAATACTTTATTTTAGCTGGAATTAAATTTCGCTAAAAAGACTTTTGGGTGTTGTGTATGGAATTTATTTTTACACTGATTTTTGATGAGTTGAATGTAAAATATAGGAAAAAAGGTATATTTGCTGGATTTTATTTTAACTGAATTATTCCTTCCCCGAAAATCATGAAAATTATATAAAACATATATTTAACAGTTCACTTTAACCCCAGGTATTGTTATTTTATTCCTTTCAGATATTGAGTTTAAAGCAGATGAAACAGCACTGCAGGGGGATGACACATCAACTGTTAATGACAAAGACAACACTCAAGTATTGAGTGTGGAATGTGAAATTGAATCACCTGATAAAGATGTTAATATTTCTCATTGCAACGAACCAAAAGATAAAACTCAAATTAAACCAGCTGGTCAGAAACCTAAAACTGAAAATGTTAAATCGTTTGCACAAGTGACAAGACGTCAGCAGCTGCCTTCCATTTCGCTGGTTGAACCATCGCCAGATCACAAAGGTGGTCCCGGTAGTCGTCCTGGGAGCGGTTCAGCACGGTCACAGGGGGTTAAGAGTCACAGTCCAGTCACGAAGATACCAAGTCAGATTTCATTCTTTTCTGGGAATCCCAGTGTCGAAATCACTAAAGGGATCTTACACCTCTACAAAGAGACGTAAGAAATTTACTTTCATTAATTGTTTACTTGTACATTACAGTAAAAATCATCTAAAGCATGTTTATGTTAAGGTAGAAGCCTACTCATAAATTAAAAAACCCAGAATTTATTCATTTTACAATAAATTGTACTCCAAGGCAATATAAGGATATTGACCTAAAAAAAGTTGGGGGTCACCAGCCTTTTATTCGAAAAATTAAAGTCGCCATTTTAACACTTATAACACTTTTACCACAGGTTCCTATGGCAGAGATATTATGCAATATTTCAATATCTAGCCTGGTGACATAGGCTGAAAAAATCATATATTGTTAATGATGGAGTACTTTTTGTTGTTCTGAATTATTTAAATAATCCGGGTTTTAAAAAGTGTCATAAAATGCAATTTTCCAAAAATATTAGGACACATTTCTAAAAGCATAACTGTAACACACAAAATAATGCTATTTCATTGTACCATGAGACATTAGCATCATGATTGTACATAACAAACTAATGAACATTGTCGTGCGATTTATGACCAGTTTTGTCAAAAATTATGACTGGGCTTCTACCTTAATATATATATTTATAAACAAAATGTCATCACTCTTAAATGAGAACATTGGATTGGTTAGGTAGTTCGTTTCCATTAAAAAAACATACCGGTACTCAGAAATTCCCGAAATCCAGCAAGAGGGGTTGGGTTACAATAATGTTGAAAATTCGACAAAACCATTGGAAAATTAATCAAAAATACAAGTATAGAGTATTTTACAATTGATTCCTATTTCAGAAACATTGCATCGTATTTCACAATTTTGTTTTGTGACCTATGATAAAAAAATGAAATGGCATATGTCCATGAAATATGTGTTTTTGCATGGAATCAAATGGAAAATGGTCACTTTTTTAGATCATTTTGTATATATATATATATAAATATTTACCGGTACATTTCAACCAATCCTTAAATCTCTGTAAAAACTTAAAACATGAATGACTTGCATGTATGTAAATCATCACACAACAATTTTTGGATGATTTACCAAGATAGTTTTATAATTTTAAGGTTTTGGTTTAGAAATAATTTAAAACATACAAAATTAATAGTTCTTTGCAGTGTACTTTAAAATTGTAAATCATTTTGTTGTTGAGTAATTCCATTAACAATCTGATAAAATGTTTGGGTTCATGGATTATTATGATGTCACCTGTAAAGTACAAGTGATATCCGGTGATAACCTCCTAATATTCTGTTTTGTTTGATAGGTTTATGACCTCGCTGGATGATAATACTCCAAGGAGTGAAATGATCGTGTTGCTCGGTGTTCCGGCAGCAATGACCATTCACGATCTGGTACAGTTTACGGCTCCGGTTAGTCCAAATATTGAGTTGATCCGAATTATCCGAGACTCCACTCCTAATCAATACATGGTACTTATGAAGTTCAAAGACCAAGTAAGTATCAAGGGTATACAAATATTGAATCCAAGGTGGATTGTCATCGTGACAGTGTTTATTTGAATTTCATGCATTTTTTTTTTTACACACAATGATTACATTGCATGGAATCCATATCAAATATCATTCGAGCAACAACTGTAGTGCTTAATTCAAGTGAAATTAAACACAAATTTGAAGGAATTTTAAGACCATGAAGTGAATATTTCGCTGAGACAGTGAAAAAACCCTTCACTTATAAGATGTGGGTATGCAAGTATGTGATATATGATGATGATTTGATCTTTATTGCATGTAATCATACATATAATATAATTCATGGTGAGAATCATTTCTCTCAATGGTCTAAAATCATTTCGTAGAATATTCACTGATTTAATTTTAGCAGATCCATGTATAATGTAAGTAAGGAAAATAAAATAATATCATAGCTTTGTTTAACATTTTGCTAACCAGCACATAAATAGATTAGCTCTAGCTTGGGACCTGCTCTAACAAACATTTCCCATTATAGTTATGGTATTAATCAGGACACGTACAAACATGCAAATGTCAATATTTTATCTTCAGAGTGCAAACAGATGACATGTGCCTCACGCAGAAACATGCGTTTCCTATGCAGGATTAAAAATGAGTCGTAAAGGTATACATGTGATAATGAAAATTTCTGCTTACATGCACAACTCTTCCAAGGGGGATTTGGATTATAATACAATCTAAATCCAACTTCAAGGCAATAAACTTTCCTTTGAGCTGAGCTCTTTTGTTAAAGGGCGTCGGTCGTCGTGCTGCACATGTGCGAAATTTGTGTTGATAACATTGATTTTCCCACAATCCAGTGCGCTCTTCTAATGGAAATCACAAGTATGAGGTTTGACCTGAGCGTGACTTGCACTAATTACTGCAGGTGACTCCATTGATACGTCCCATCACCTAAAAAATACCTTGGTATTGTCTCACTTTTTACTCGTTGATCTGTGCAACAGTCAAAGTTGCCATCTTTGTTTATATGAGACCCGTATATCTCTCGTATGTGTGGCGCGACGACATAACCCTTTACAAGTACAACAGCAAATATTCTGTTGGTATTACAAGGAAATCTTGGAAACTTGATAAATTATTATTACATGTAATACTAGGTTTTGAGGTCTGCTGAGTCCAAAAAAGTGCACTAAATAAACCAAAAAGCATGCATTAGAGACATACTTATGCAGAATTTGACTTGCCAGTACAAAATCCTGTTTTAACACCTTGGCTACTCTATTGAAATAGTTGAAAGCAGACATTTTCATATGATGGCTTTAAATACAACTCAAGGTTGATCAGTGAAATGCGCGTAGTTTTCAACTAATATGTTTCTCATTTCAGACACTTGCTGATGAATTTTATAAAACGTACAACGGGCAGCCATACAATTCTATTGAGCCTGAAGTCTGTTATTGTGTGTATGTGTCTGGTGTAGAGACAGCCAAGGAATCTGAGGTAATCTTAAGTACATTGCACTAAGATAACATTTGGGACTACCCCCTGGTACTTATCATGGTTTCATCTGTATGTGTATGTCCTTTTTTGTGTGTCAAAATCTGAGATACACTGGCTACTTTCCATTCAAAATTCACAGTTTTCTGATTCTTGGTGTTGTATCATGGTATTGTCTGTGTAGTGGACTTCAGATGGACATGAGTTCCATAGCAGAAGCTGTCATTCCCTGGGATTGTTCCTGTAGCATTGTGGGATGCATTGTGTGTGTGTGTGTGTGTGTGTGTCTGTTTGTGTTCACTTTATCACTGTTACCGATAGGCTAGCTTGTCAATACTTTGCAGTGATGTATATGTGTGTTTTCAAGTCAGAGGAAAAAATAGAAATGTAGGTGGTTCCAAACATATTGGACAGCTACTGTCTGTCAACATGTATATTGTTTTTTTTTCACTGCTAAATAACTAGCTGGCGTTTTATTCAGAGGCAGTCGCTTTGATCTTTTATCGGCTAAATTTTACGTAACTTCCCTTGTGATTGCATCTTAACATCATGGACACAATTGCCTATGATTTGCAGTGTATTGTGATTACTGAATACCAGTGTACTGTGATTCACTCAAAGTCACTTTATACATGATATCTATATACTTTTAAGGTTCCTGTCTGCCCATACCTGGTTTAACTGAGTTACCAACTTGTCCTGTGTGTCTGGAAAGAATGGACTGTGATTCACTCAAAGTCACTTTATACATGATATCTATATACTTTTAGGGTTCCTGTCTGCCCATACCTGGTTTAACTGAGTTACCAACTTGTCCTGTGTGTCTGGAAAGAATGGATGAGTCAGTAGATGGCATACTAACTGTTTTATGTAATCATTCATTTCATGGTACTTGCCTCTATAAATGGGGAGATTCTAGGTAAGTCAACATTCATGCCAATCTTATTAAAGCAGGGAGTCATCACCTGCGCATGCGTCAGATGGCCATAGTGTGTCATTGTTTACAAATAAGCATTTACCATGATCCTTTGCGTTTTTAGCATGGGTTGTTATCATCGCTTGGGACTCAATTCCTGCGTGTGCGCAGGTGACGACCCTCCCGCTTTAAAATGCTATTTTTATATATTCATGAATATTTTTTTATTTTATTTTATTTTTTCTATATTGTATCCCATTTGTCTTAACAACATCTGATTCAATGCAGTTGGAAACCTTGTGCAAATCTCGCAAGGCGGCAAATATATAAAATATATATAAAAAAAATTACTACCGGTAATGGCAAGTAAAACTAAAATATATGCATAAATAAACAAAAATAACAATATGAAAAAACTATAAAAATTAAAAATATGAAAAAAAAAAAAAAATGTGAGCCTATACTTACCGGTACATCAGATTTTAATCAGATTAAATTTATGCAATACTGTGAATTGTAACCATTTGATGACAGTGATATTCTTGAGTTAAAATTTTCATGAGAATTACACGAGTTTCGCAGAATATCTCAGGCTAGTTGAAATTTTCTCTCACCTTGGTAAGCTTAAAAAGAAGTGCTAACCACTGAGTATAAAAAATAAATAAATCAATTGATAAACCAAGCTAAGAACCACAATTTAGCGTGTCCATAATTTACAGATTATTGTTAATTTCATTTTAGTTGTCCTGTATGTCGGTATTCTCAGGCACCAGAACCAGTAGCTGACAACAAATGTATGGCATGTGGAGCACAAGAGGTAGGAATAATTTCTATTGAGTACAGTAATGTATAGAGTGCATTTCTATCACTTTTCTTGTATCATGTACAACACTATACGAATTGACAATCAGGAATGACCATACGTAAAATCAGGAATGATCATACGTAAAATCAGGAATGATCATACGTAAAATCAGGAATGATCATATGTAAAATTAGGAATGATCATACGTAAAATCAGGAATGATCATACGTAAAATCAGGAATGATCATACGTAAAATCAGGAATGATCATACGTAAAATCAGAAATGACCATATGTAAAATCAGGAATGACCATATGTAAAATCAGGAATGACCATATGTAAAATCAGGAATGACCATATGTAAAATCAGGAATGATCATACGTAAAATCAGGAATGATCATACGTAAAATCAGGAATGACCATATGTAAAATCAGGAATGACCATATGTAAAATCAAGAATGATTATACGTAAAATCAGGAATGATCATACGTAAAATTAGGAATGATCATACGTAAAATCAGGAATGTG